GAGGGAAGTACTCTAGCCGAAGCGATCTACACATTGTTGGAACTGAACATTAATTTCTAATTCAAGTCATAATTAAATTATTATAGAAGTCTGCTACTAATGCTAAATTTGCTGTTGGAACAGTTGCTATTTTACTACTGTTGCTGTTGCTGCTGTTGTTTGTCAACAGCCAAGCTAGTGACAATTATTTGGCTGGGATTGATGACAAACGACTGGCCTTGACCAACGTCAGTCAACGCCACTTGGCTGGCGTTAGTCTAGAATATAAGTACAATCAATAGTGAAAACTATTGCTAGTAACTTAATATTTTAATATATTTCGTGTATATCTTTTCGTGTATCAAACTGTGTTCACATTTTTCATGATACTTGTATTTGAATAACTTTTTATAATAGTTTCAAACTGCTAGTCTCCCAAATATTTTTAATTAAGATATTGCTAATTTAACTGCCTTTTTTGTTTTATATTCTTGAAGAACTTGCGATTTAAACAGATCATTGATTAATGATTTAAGTATAGATTCGTTTATATTGAATATTGGCGGCATTTGTGTCATGGCGACTCAGGTCATTACGCGAATTTAAATCATTCATTCTAAATAAATTACGAGCTTGACATCATTTCGTTGCAAGAGAATAATTCCGTAAGGGGAGCGTCTGGGCCAGAAATTGAAAATTTGGGCTTTTCATTGTTTTAGGCCAGTGGTTCCCAAAGTGGGCGATATCTCCCCCTAGGGGCGGTGGAAAGATTTTGGGGGGCGATAAAGAAGAAGAGGGCGATAGGGGGGGGGCGATAGTCCGAAGTCGAAGTCAGAACTTCAAAAGTTTTTTTGACGATTTGTACACAACACGTGCAAGCACAGTATGACTCCCAGCGATGGTTTTTTCACCCAGATCTGCTTTTTAACCTCTCCTGGGTTTACTTCGGACAAATTAACGGCCGGACTCGCGGCCGGTCTCACGGCCAAATTCCAAATTTGACGATCGAGGAATAACTCTCAAACTAATTAACTTAACTCGACGACACTTGGTACACGTATTCATTAGGACCTAACGTTAATGTTTAGCTCGTGAAATTTCTTTGAATTTTGCCTTCATTTGTGAGTTATATGGCAATACGGGCCGAAATTCACAGTGATCAAGGAATATGTTTTAAACTACTGAACAGATTCTAACGAAATTTTGATTTTACAGTCCTAACTACCGAACAGTAATGTTTAGCTTGTGAAAATTTTTTCGATTTTGCATTCGTTCGAGAGTTTTTTTTTCATTTCACCGTCATTCGTGATTCAAACAGAAATATGTGCTTAAATTCGCAGTAATCAAGAAATTTCTCCCAAACTACTGAACAGATTTGAACGAAACTTAGTATTTGAATACCTAAGCTCAGCAACGGTGATGTTAAGCTCGTTACAATTTTTTAAATTTTCCTTCGTTTGCGAGTTATACGGCTATACGTAAACGGCTTTTGGTTAAACCGGCCGGTACAAAAGCCGGTCGTTTCCCCTATAACTGTATAACTCGATAACGAAAGCAAAATATAAAAATTGTCATGAGCTGAACATCATCGTAGGGAGGTTAGGTATTTATATACAAAGTTTCGTTGAAATCTGTTCAGTAGTTTAGAAGAAATTTATTGATCACTGCGAATTTAAGCGACAAATTACCCGGCGATACGGGACGAATATAAGGAAGTGTGAAATAATGAATGACTGTGAAATGAAAAAAAAACTCGCAAACGAAGGCGAAACGGAAAAATTTATTAAAATGTAAACGCAAAAATAAAATCAGCGTTAGGTACTTAGGAATGTATATTGCAAATTTCGTTCAAATCTGTTCAGTAGTTAGGAAGAAATTCTTTGATCACTGTGAAATTCGGCCTGTATTGCAATATACCTCACGAATTAAGGTGAAATTTAAAAAATTTTCACGAGCTGAACTTAGGTTGATGAATACATGTTCCCAGTTTCATTGAGCGGCGTTCATTAGTTTGGGAGATATTCCTTGATAATTGAATTTGGAGATTGGCCGTGAGACCGGCCACGAGTCCGGCCGTAAATTTGACCGAGACGTCTTAGGCTTCTAGTGCTGAAACAGTTAAAACAGCTGAAAAACATATTGGTTTACTAAATGGGGTTCTATTTGTGAAATACACATTTGTGTTTAACGTTTTTCTTTTAAAATTACAGCGTACTAAATATCAAGAAAGAGGCGTAAATTTTTATATGTCTGTGGGGGGCGCTAGAAATTCACTAGGGAGCCAAAAGGGGCGCCAGCCTGAAAGAGTTTGGGAACCACTGGTTTATGCTCATTTTGTTGCGGCTGAGAAGGCGCGTCTAACGCAGCAAGCAGCATGTCTGTGCGTGCTCTAGTTTTTGCGTAAAGCAATTTAAAAAAAAATATAAAATGAACATTTTTTGTCAATATGTACTGAGATTTCATCAAATTAAATCTGTATTTATAGCTCATTAGTCTCGTTAATTGCAAAGTGTTTGCACTCGTTTGAAAGCCACAAACAAGACGCGTTCATGAAAGTAAATATCACGGATGTACATGCAATAATTTTTGCGTAATGCACTTTTGAACTTATATAAAATGTACATTTTTAATATATTTAAATATCACAAAAATAAAATTTATAGCTTATTATTCACGTTAAACTGGACAAGAATAAGTCTAAAGACGCGTGCTGGTACCCCAAGTGCAACTAATTGGCAATGGAGAAAGCTTGGGCTAAAATATCTTTCATTTTTTTCTGGCACAATCTTCTTTTTTAATAAATTTTTACCTATTTGGTTCCCCTGAACAATTAAAATTTCCAAACCGCGACATCTTAAAAATCTATCTCCTCCTACAGTTTCCAAGCTACATCATTGAAAGATATACCATTCGATTCGTAAAGAAAAGATCCAGGGGCCGGATTATCAAAACATCGCTAAGTACACGTAGCGACTTACGTATGGCGTAAGGGCTGATATGAAGAAAGAATTCTAGCGGTGGTATTTTCAAAACATTTGCGCGGGAAGCTACGTACAAGAAGCCGTACGTAGCTCTACGCCTGCTCGGAGGTGTCGTAAGTGGAGTTACGCAGACGTTTTGAGTGTGTCGAAGCAATATAAAACTATTGACTTACTTGCAACACGGTGAATTGTGATAGAATTTTGTCAATAATTCAACATAGGCATAATATGTGATCGTGCTAAATGGTGCTTTTTGAGAAAAAAAAATTCAATTAAGTTTTGCCAGCTAATTTCTTTTCCTTTTGTGCTATAATTTGCAAGCAAATCTTGATATTCGTAGCTAAGAGTTTTATGATCATTCTCTAAAATAATATCTTCATGACTTTTTGAATCAAAACTAAGTGGAGTTTGACAAGCCAACCATTTTTCTAGCTACGTACACAAATTCCTTTCTTTCTCCGCTGATAGTTGAACGATCATAATTGAAGGAGTTATGAGTGCCACAGTTGAAAATGAAGTTAGGTTTTCCGTATTAACAAAAAAGTTATTGATGTAAAAATCTAAAAAAATTCCCCCCGCAAAATACTGATATTATCTACGTATATTTGAAATTTTAATAAAATCCGTTCATTATTGAAGGATTTATGAGTGCCACAGTTGAAAATGAAGTTGGGTTTGCATTCGAGTTCGCAGGCCAGTTCCAACTCACAAAATGTTCTAAATTCTAGGTAGCTCTCTAAAAAGTCATTAAATTTTGAATGAGAAAAATGTAATTTTTTGCCTTGATAGCAAAAAATGACAATCAAGGCGTTGTCATTGCTATTTAGAAAACGTCTGACTCATTTCTCCATATGCTCCCTAGTCAGTCAACGCAGATGACGCTGACACGATATAACCTCCTTTCATCCACGCGCACAGCGTACTGAGTCGACACTCGACACGCCGGACGCCGCTGTCGCCGCACGCGAATGACGCGACAGGACTAGTCACAGGAGGAGCTAAGAATGACAAATTCGAAGCCTCTGATTGGTCAGTTACTTGGATAGTTTCGATAATACCTTTTCAGATAAGTCTTGCGTAAGACAGTTTTGTTAATGCCAAATTTTGACTGACTTAGGCAATACGTAACTTTTTGAACGTAAGTACGAAAAGTTACGTATACTTAGCGAAGTTTCGTTAATTTCTGCCCAGAGAATGATCTTTCATTTTTTTGTAATTTCGTTATAGTTTAATTAGATTATATTCTGAAAAATGGGGGGTGGTGGGGTGGAAATCGAAAAATTTACGAAAAAATGTTCCCCCAACCACAAAAATGATCATTTTGAAAAAAAAAACAACAAATACCAATCGATAGATATGGTCTTTACGCATCGAATGCTATGTGTCTCGATGTTGTAGCTTGAAAATCCTAGGAGTTTTCTCTAAGAATTTCTCGTTTTCTTTCATTTTTTTCCGAAAAATTTACACGAAATAAAAATCTTAGATTTCCGTTTTACATATGTGTACCAAGTTTCATCGTGATCCGTCCGTGAATAAAAAAGTTTTGTGGGGCCCAGACGGTCCACTAAAATCTAAATTACATACAGCCGCTTCGAAGTGCTTCCCTTTACGTTAAATACCCTTTAATAATATTTATCAATCCTCGCGTCTTACCAGCCTCTTGTCCCAGCGCAACCAAGTTAGAGTATATTTTTAGAGTACACTTACAGTAAATTTACAGTACACTTACAGTACATAAACAGTACATTTATAGTGTTCATTTAGAGTACACTTTTAATGTGATGAACGATGTTTAGATTAAATATGCCTTGGATATATTAAGGTACAACATCCTCAACTCGTCGAAGGGCTTGCCTGCAACGCGAGACAACCATGGCACCGGCCAGCCGTGGCAACCTGCTGGCAGTCTGGTGGTTGCTCTCTGTCAGGAAGGAGGTGCTCTGTACTTCGCTGTTCCATCTCTGTTATTTTCAACGATAAAGAAGCTCATTCAACACCATGCCTGTTCTGGGTTATTGGAGCGTCCGCGGGGTGAGTGATGTGCACATTTCTACGTTGTGAGATTTGAGGCTTCCCTACTTAGTTTAATATGCATGTAGCCTGAGTTCTTATTGAATCAATATTGTATTTCTCTCTCTCTGCAATATGTAATATAGTCAGTGCAGAAACTGTGAGTGAATTTGAACGCAGCATGTTGGAAGTGAGAGCCCCCAGGTCAATAACCGGTTTAAGTAGTTATTATACCTTGTGCGGCTCATAGGCATTCTAGCGTTCATAAGTATATAGTCTGAGTTGTGATAGGTTATCTATCAGTGCCAGTATACGCAAATAATCATCAGTCTGCCAGTACGCGGTATCTTTGCTATTAGTTAGTACCACAATAGATTGATTGCATGTGTTATTATTTTAAAGAAACAGCTGATATGTATTGATAATAACTGCCGCTGTGAACCACTTACTTAGTAGTTATGAACTATTATTACGTTTGCTGAAACACATTAACTTTCTTCAATTGCAGGCCTAGTTTTCAATAACTTCAAAATGCTGACAATCGATTGAATTTCTAACCTCCAGAAAGTTTTTTATTACAATGGTTTCGACAAACCATCAAATCGCGCGAAGTTGTCGTAAGCTCAGACCAGCAAACAAAACACAACGATAAATAATAATTATATATAAAGTAACCGAGTATAAAAACCAGCTGAATTCCTTGGCTTGTTTCATTTGCATCAAACTTACTGAAAACTTTATCAATCTTAATAATATTTATCAATCCTCGCGTCTTACCAGCCTCTTGTCCCAGCGCAACCAAGTTAGAGTACATTTTTAGAGTACACTTACAGTAAATTTACAGTACACTTACAGTATATATATATACATAAACAGTACATTTATAGAGTACATTTAGAGTCCACTTTTAATGGGATGAACGTATAGATTAATTAGGCCTGGGATATATAAGGTACAACATCCTTAGATCGTCGAAGGGCTTGCCTGCAACGCGAGACAACCATGGCACCGGCCGGCCGTGGCAACCTGCTGGCAGTCTGGTGGTTGCTCTCTGTCAGGAAGGTGGTGCTCTGTACTTCGCTGTTCCATCTCTGTTATTTTCAACGATAAAGAAGCTCATTCATCACCATGCCTGTTCTGGGTTATTGGAGCGTCCGCGGGGTGAGTGATTTGCATATTTCAACGTTGTGAGATTTGAGGCTTCCCTACTTAGTTTAATATGTAGCCTGAGTTCTTATTGCATCAATATTGTATTTCTCTCTCTGTGCAATATGTAATATAGTCATCGCGCATAGTCAATGAAGAAACTGTGAGTGAATTTGAAGGCAGCATGTTTGAATTGAAAGTCCCCTGGTCAATAACCGGTTTAAGTATAGTTATTATACCTTGTGCGGCTCATATAGGCATTCTAGCGTTCTAGTCCGAGTTGTGATAGGTTATCGGTGCCGGTACGCATTACTCATCAGTCTGCCAGTACGTGGTATCTTTGCTATTAGTTAGTACCACAATAGATTGATTGCATGTGTTATTATTTTAAAGAAACCACTGATATGAATTGATAATAACTGCCGCTGTGAACCACTTACTTAGCAGTTATGAACTATTATTACGTTTGCTGAAACACATTAACTTTCTTCAATTGCTGGCCTAGTTTTCACCTATGATTCTAAATAAATTATTTAAACTAAGAGTATTTCGGTCGTAAGACCTTGATATAAAGTACATAAGAACAAATGCAATTACACGTTAACGGCAATCGTTGCAGTCAAGTGCAGGCGACACTCGACCCTATCTTTATAGCCCTTATCAGCACCGGAATTAAGTGTTAACTCTTCTCACCTTAATATTAGAGCCTTTAGCGAATACATAAGTAGCTCAGAATTGTATTCTTTAATGAATGTGACTTGGATATATTTTAGGATATATCTGCCTTATAATTGCAGCATGGTATGAAAACCGCTGATAAAAATGTATCGATAAAGTTTATTGAACAATATAATGAGTCGTTGTGCGGAAACTTGGGTATTATGTCAGGTAATTTGTTAAATTTAATCTACTCGTGTATTTACTATATTTAATAAATTCCCTAACAAAGCAATATTTTATTTATCAACATTTTATTTAATACTAGATGAATTTTGCATGGATGCTACTTGATTCAACCAAAATTGTTCAAATAACTGACTCGGTAGACCATGTTCTGCAGTAAATTCTGACAACTGAAATATCACAGATGTTTACCTAGATAAACTCCGTAGATGGTTCATCATCGTTTTTATTTCGCAAAGTATTCTCTTCTGCTTTGTTTAAAAAACTCTCCGGATCCTCCAGCTAGCAGAACCCATCCGCACGTTGCTCGCTCACACCGGAACGGAGTACGAGAACAAGACGTACGATATGGGCCCAGCCCCCACCTACGACCGGTCGCAGTGGCTGAACGTTAAACCTACCATCGACCTCGATCTTCCTAACGTGAGTTCTTACTAAACTTCTTTTCAGAGATGCGCACATGATCTTGACACCTGAGAATTTAAGAGGTTTCTTGGATTCACGAACAGCAGGGTTTCTACAAAAAGTGATACGTCCGAATCTTTTTTTCCTTCTTGGGATATACATCTACGGTCTACCCATCTTACTCAAGTAAAATCATTCAGAAGAAATCATTCAGTAATTCTATTAGAATCATTCAGTAATTCTATTAGAAACTAACTTAGTATAGTAGCGTATATCCAGATCAGCCGCTATACTTTTTTTTACTTTTTTTCTTTTTCTCTCTTCTTCTTCTTGCCATACATTTCCTACTACACACAGCAATCCCCCAATTGAAGCCTTTTCCTGTGTGTATCATTAGTGTTTAAAACAATCTTACATTAGTTTTACCTAGCCAAAAAACCCTAACCTAACCTAACCCAACCGAAGTAAACACAGCCTGAAATATCCTAACCTAACCTGCCCTAATCTAATCTTACCTTAATTAACCTTACCTAACCCAACCCAATCTAACCTAACTTACTCTACTAATCTATCCTAACCTAACCTTGTCTGAACTAACTTTGCCTTACCTAACCTAATATACCCTAACCTAACCACCCTTTGTAATGGTCGCCATGGGAACTTGTTCCTGGCTTGAACCTAACCTCAGCCAATGACGTAATTTTTACGACGTGTTCAATTTCCTACCTACTCTATTTTGATACCGTGCATGATTTTGGCCGGAGTTTGCATTTCCGAGACTCACTGAACGTGTTGGAAATGCGAACTCCGGCCTGAATACTCCAAACCTCAAAAACCTAGGTGTCAGCTTTCCTCTATCAAAGTAAACAGTGCAAAAAGTTTAAATACTTACTTGCCCATTGCAAAAACACAGCTTCAAAACTTCTTAAGGTACCAGTTTCTCAACTTACTAGTCGCATTTACGAGCGCTGCCTACTCCTGCACGCCGGTGGTCATCATACGTCGTAATAACGGCTTGAGCGAAATTCTAGTTGAGGTCTTGTTTGACGGTAGATATCGAAGGAACGTCACGGCCCCGAGCTCAACACTCGGGGCCATTGAAGGTAATTTTTGTTTTCTTTTCAATGTTATTCGAGTAAATTTTCTTCAATCCTGGTCGTTAACAAGTTAAAAGACCTTGAAAAAGCCAAAAATCGCAGTTCGGGCATGCAGGACAAATACATGGCACAGAGCAATATTAATGTTTCACGAAAACCGTTTTATACAGAATTTTTGAGATTTTTTCTTTCGCATTATTAATTCTGAAGAGCTGAAGCAGGTAACCATGTAAGAATGATGTCTTCAAGTTAAAATTAATTTGCCTAAATAAATGCTCAAAAAGTGAACAAAGAAATAAAATTTTTGGTCTAATTTTAATCATCAAGTTTCTTGAAGAAATAATTTTTTGAAAATAAGTGATATACACAGCAATAAGCGCAATTTTATCCTCTGTTGATAGCAACTTTCAGAAAGCTTCCAAAAAAATACGCAGCTCGCAGTCTCGCACAATAATCTTAAGAGTAAAGACGTTGAACACCTTCAGGCAAGCTCTCGAAGTTACGCGATTTCGACGAAAATTTGATCAATTCTTTTCCTCTTCGAAAAATCATATCTCGAGTTCTATAAAAGCTAGGATCATGAATCAGGGTTCGAATTAAAGGCAGACTTGTGCCTTATTACTAGAGTTGTTGGGAAAAATCTAAAAAATTAATTTTTCCGTAGAGTTGTGAAGAAAATGCGAAAAAGTTGGTAAAAAGTTGAACAAAGTTTTGCTCACAACTTTGTGAGTTTTCGTTTTTTCGGAAATCTGTTTTAACCATATAGTGTATATATCTTTTCGAGACAATTAGAGATATGTCGTCAAAATTTCAAAAATCTTTACGGTTTGGCCATGAGAGTTGAAAAACCACTGAAAAATGGCCGAAAATTTTTATTTCAAGGTTAACTTTAACCCCCAATTTGGGGATGAAGTTTTGACACTACAAAAAATCGTTCAAATCCCAAACACACTCCAATATTTTACCTTTCTTCTGAAATCAAGCGCATTGATCTGAGTTTGCAACTTTTTGAGCTGTGATCGTTTCCGCGACCTCATTTTAGGTAATTTTTTGACTAAATTTCTCCCTTTTTAGCGCATTTTCTCACTTATGGAAAAATGCACTATTGTGCTCGCCATGTCCGTCCGTCCGTCTGTCTGTCTGTCCGTCCGTCTGTCCGTGACCTCAAGTTTTCGTCGACGAGAAAATGCGCTCTCTGTCTCTCACTGCAGTGAGTACTGAGTTATATTTTTTGGGGATTATGGGAGGAAGGAGTGGAAATTTCGGAAATCCGATAGGAATTTTTGGTACACAAAATATGCGTACGGGTTTATGCAAATTTTCATGAGATTCTATCCTGTGAGCTCCTGGAAAAAATGGCTCGAGTGAAATCTTTGACCTCACACTCCCCTGTACGTGATTATATAGCTGCAGCATATCAATGGTGGAGAGTATAAGTATAGCGTCCGCTTCGCTGGCTGTAGGCATACAGAAAGTGAGCCGCTCCTGCCGAATAAATACTTTACAATGATATTATAATGGTATACAGGGGAACCCAGCCGTGCACCACCAATTTTGTGCACCAATAAGCCCTGACTCGAACGCCTTGTATCTCTCCGGACCTACACCAATCAGCCGTGCACCACTCGGTTTTGTCCTCCTCCGGCCTTGACCACCACCTGCCGTGCACCACCAGGCCACGGATCGAATATGACTTCCAGGCATCGTTAAATTACGTAATTTTACGTTCACCGCATCTGAGGTTAGGTTTCAGNACAAGTGGCCGTTCGACCGACGGCTGGTTCGACCCACGGCCTAGATACGGACGGCTTGAAGTGTTGAAGGCTACGTTCCGGAAGGCAGGAATTATGATGGTCCAGTGCAGTGGTGGTCTTCGGCAGGCGACCCGGTATACAGTACTTTAGAGTTTAGTGTACAGTACAGTGCTGGGCTGCATTGTACTACACTATGGTATAAGTTTGACGAATTGAGATAATTAGTACTTGAATTATTAACACCAAACAATGACTTACAGTGAGATTGTTTGTTCAGTTGCCGTACTACATGGACGGCGACGTGAAACTGACTGAGAGCAGCGCCATCATCCGCCATCTTGGCCGCAAGACGGGACTGGCGGGCGCCACGGAGCAGGAGAAGATGCGCATCGACGTCGCTGAGAGCCTCTACGCCGACCAGACCGGGAGTTTCGTCAGGCTCATTATCAGCCCCAACTATGTGAGTATGGATTGATTCAAGTCGATGATTAGTAAAAATGATGCGAGTCGATAATGATCACGATAATAATGATAATAATGAGCGGATTTTTAATGTAGGAATGCAAGTTGTGATTGAAAAACAAGCCTAAAACCAAACCTGTAATTGCAAAACTCCATAAACCCCGCTCACGTTCACTTATTTTTAGATATTGAGATCAACTCTGCAGCGTTGCAGGGCGAAACTTATAGAATGCATATTATGCATTAGCATTATATGCTGAGATCCTCATAATGCTGGTGTAATTAATTGCAGGAGAGCGACAAAATACCGTTCGAAGCTGACATCAAGGATAAGCTGCAGAAGTTCGCCACGCTCCTGGGGTCCAGCAAGTACATAGCAGGAGAAGAGGTGCGTTATATACGTGACTTGACCTCTTGCAGCTGCGTTTTGTTTTCATCTGTGAAACTTCTATTGTAAATTCCTATACCCTCTTAAAAGAGTCAAAAGTTTGTATCAAATACTATCTGACTATCTGTTGATAATTACAACGATTAAAGGTTACGTCGGGACTTTAGCGTGGATTGATCTCCATGAGCGATCGGTTTGCTCGCATGTTCCCTTAATATGCAATACAAGTAGATATCTGCGAGCCATGTATAAATTTTATTTTTTATTACTCCTTTGATCGCTCAATGATAATTTTATTCAACCTATTTTATTATCATATAATCTTATATCAAATTTATTCCGAGTAGTTTCTTTATTCTATTTAATTTCGTTTTTATTTTATTTTGAGATTTTTTGCATGTTTCGGTTGTTGGATGACCTGTGTTGTGGTAGAATATTTTTCATTGCTTTTCTGTAAGTATTACTGTGAAAGGATTGTCTAGAGGCGTCTTGGAAATTATTATTTCAGTCCACGTTAATTTTAGCGTCCTAAACTTATTCCACTCTGCTCTTGCAGATCTCATACGCGGATTTCCTAATCCTGGAGCTGCTGGACCGCTACGAGAGCTTCTCCCCCAGCGCGCTGGCCGCGTTCCCCACCCTGAAGGCCCTTCAGACTCGCCTGCTTGACCTGCCAGGGGTGAAGGCGCGCCGCGACTCTCCGGAGTTCAAGAAAATCAGCACAAGATTATTTGGCAGGATGCACAAATTTGGCCACGGGGAAGAATCCTATTAAGTTTAAATGAGCGTATGTTATCGTACGGGTAACACTTATACAGTTTTTTCTCCGCTATCTTTTAGCTGAGGGTGAGCGAATGTTGGTGGTTATGGTTAGGGTCAAAATTTTCTACCAACTTTTATGTTCTAATTTGATCTGTTTGCTGATACAAATAAAACTAATCTAATAAGGTTGAATTCAATTTATTTCTTAAACCAACGAGTATTTCTGTGCATGATATGGGATCATCGAACTCATCAAAAGGACATAATCGAGAATTTAAAAGCGTACAAATAATTAATATAACAAAACGGCCCATTGAGTGATAGTTTTTCGGATTGGATAGATACGAAAATTGAGGCCCGCACGCCATCGGTCCTCAATTTTACGAACACCACCACCACCGAACTGCAGGGCCATAAGGAGAAACGAAGCCAGCGTGTCCATCGGGTCCATTACAAGGTAGCTGTACGTTTCTTGCACTACGAGCGAGCAATGTCGCATATACACCTATCGTATACTTGCGTTTCGAAACTATATTTGTTTATATGATGAATGCAATTGATGAGACTTGAAACTGTTCAAATGAATTTCTCGATTTTATTATCATTTGGATTTGGGTTATTTGGATTTGGGTTATCATTTTGGGTGATTGACATACTTGGGGGAATTTCTCCGTCAACTCGTTTGGAGCTTCCTGATTTCGTTCGTCTGAGGCCTCACGAGGGAGGGTCCGATAATTTTGTCCCATATTTTTTTCGGAGCAAATCTCCAATTTACATAAAAAATATAACTCGGTACTCAATGCAGTGAGTGACAGAGAGCGCATTTTCTCGTCGACGAAAACGTGAAGTCACGGACAGACGGACGGACATGACGGGCACAATAGGGCATTTTTAGCGCATTTTCTCATTTATGGAAATCATGCACTATTGTGCTCGTCATGTCCGTCCGTCTGTCTGTCTGTCCGTCCGTCCGTCCCTGACTACACGTTTTCGTTGACGAGAAAATGCGCTTTGTGTCACTCACTGCCGTGAGTACTGAGTTATATTTTTTTTTGCATGAAGAAGTGAGCATACCTGAATTTTCTCGATTCATAAGCCCATATAATAAATACATGCATGGATTTGCTCTCTCGTTTAGTTAAAAGAGCTACGGCTCGGGAAAAAGTTGATTGAAAATTGAAATTAGATCTTTCAAAGCAAAATGAACGTTGGTACATGGATCACCCAATATTCTTATTGGATTTTTCCTCAACTAGAATTTTGTAGAAACTTCTATAACTTCATTTTGTAGAAACTTCTATAGGGATCGAGTGCTGGGCGGTGAGGCGGGTTGGGGTGGTGGATGGTATTGCTTGGCCAGACACTACCCATGACCGGCACGGCCTCGGATGCACTCATGGGAGCCTGCTATGCTCTCAAGGCTGGACGTGAGGTGGTTGCACGCTCCTAGCCAGGCTTTTTGACCCCCGCGGGGCGATTCATGATTTGCTAGACCTCTAGGCTGAACGCTCCGTGGGGTCAGTGAACGTGGGACAGACCGGGCAATTGTTGTGGACGTGCTTTTGCGGTGCTAGAGGATTTGCTATGCCTCATGGCTATGCGCTGCTGGGTACCTCAACCTTGAAAAAAAGTTACTGTGTGCCAGGAAAATTTACACAACAGAGCAAACTTAGTTTTTTTTTTCTCTAAAAAAATATCAGGCGTCGTGAAACTTGCAAGAGCTGTGAAGTGCAATCGAGGAGACGCAATATTTACTGAGCTGCCAAAAAATTACGAAAAATCGTAAACGTAAATGTTTGTGAGCTGTGGTCATTCTTTATTTATGAATTTTGTTCTCTATGACCTTCGTTCTTAGTTTTTAGGGACAATTCGCCGAGTCACTCAATGAAGCGGACATCCCGAACTTCAGTCTACAACGCTGCCTTACACCAACCTACCTCATTTTGTTGTACTTTGTACTAAGAGTTCTTTCCTAAACCTTTTTCTGAGGTGATGCGGATACATTTTCTGCACGGAACGAATGTGAAAGCTACAATAGCTGCTACAATGTTATGCGCATTTCGTGGGACAACGAGCGAAAAACATTTATTTGTCGAGTCATTCATTCATCAAGGAATCCAAACGTGTCTGAAGGTGCTATAGGCCGCCTAGACCTTGGCACGAGTATATACGAGTACGTTCTTTATCCCAACACAGTTTTATACAAAAAAAGCTAGCATATCTGACGTAAGGCGACGAATTAAGCACGACTTTCCATGCCATTATCCTCGCCAACTGCCATCAATCAATGTTCTATTAACTTCAAAATGCTGACAATCGATTGAATTTCTAACCTCCAGAAAGTTTTTTATTACAATGGTTTCGACAAACCATCAAATCGCGCGAAGTTGTCGTAAGCTCAGACCTGCAAACAAAACACAACGGTAAATAATAATTATATATAAAGTAACAGAGTATCAAAACCAGCTGAATTCCTTGGCTTGTTTCGTTTGCATCAAACTTACTAAAAACTTTATCAATCTTAAGCATACACTTGACTATCCATTTACATACCTTACCCTATAGGGGCTAAAAAATTTTTTAGTTCGAATAATATGAGATGAGTAACAATTAAGATTGTTACCGTCATCCATACAGAATCACTGAACACATGGTGATTTTTTTCGCGCAGACTTTGGTATTCTTTGCGAATATTTAAGTTGATCTGAAACCGTGCTGAATCCCATGGAATGTCGTCAAAATATACAATTAAAATAGTGTTGTGGTAGATGTTCCAGTAGAGCAACGAAATGACAATTTTTAGCGCATTTTCTCATTTATGGAAATCATGCACTATTGTGCTCGTCATGTCCGTCCGTCTGTCTGTCTGTCCGTCCGTCCGTCCGTCCGTGACTACACGTTTTCGTCGACGAGAAAATGCGCTTCGTGTCACTCACTGCCGTAAGTACTGAGTTATATTTTTCCATAAATTAGAAAATGCGCTATAATGGGAAATTCATTTTTCCAATTTTACTTCCTCGACATTATAGTCAATGAATGATCGTTTCAAGTCCTTCATTCAGAAGCTTAAGATTTGCGTAACACTTCACGAGGCAAGGATTGCATTATGAACCTGAAAATATTTCAAGACACTCGAGCTTATATGAGCAGAAATTGGTGTCGGGGTCGCGATATAGTTACACAAGTTCCATCGTGTCCTATAGAAGTGTACCTGTAGATCAAATGAAAAATTTACCAATATCTTCAACAATACATCATGATCCGCGTTCAACGATACAATAAATCTAAACTTCACTATGAACGTTTATTTACTAAACCTTCAGATTTGGTGATGTGTAATTTTTATGATGATGGATGACTTCCAGGGTTGTTGAGAACAAACCTTTAAAAAACACAAAAGTATCAAGGCGACCAGGAAAAATATGAATGAAAATTCGTTCTGTAAAAGAAAAAAAATAAATTACTAAAAATTGCAACGACTGATATTCTATAGATGGGCACTTTCCTACATTAGTGGCATGGGTAAGACGACAGTTCAAGTTTACTGCTGTGACAACGTTTATACTGTAAATGATGAATGTCTTCATGAATCGTTTTAAATTCAACAGAGTAATGTTCAACATAGAGATTTTTAAAACATATTCCGGCGTTTCATTTTCGTCGCTGTAAGTTTGCATGAAGAAATGAGCATTTTTGAATTTTTTCGATTCATATGCCCATGTTAAATACATGTATGGATATGCTTTCTCTCGTTTACTTAAGAGAGCTGCGGCTCGGCAAAAATATATAAAAATTAAAATTAGATTTTTCAAAGTAAAATGAACGTTGGTACATGGATCACCCAATATTCTTATTGGATTTTTCCTCAACTATCTTGAAAAAAAGTTACTGTGTGCCAGCAAAATTTACACAGCAGAGTGAACTTGTTTTTTTTTCTCTAAAAAAATATCAGGCGTCGTGAAACCTGCAAGAGCTGTGAAGTTTAATCGAGGAGACGCAATATTTACTGAGCTGCCAAAAAATTACGAAAAAATGTAAACGTAAATGTTTGTGAGCTGTGGTCATTCTTTATTTATGAATTTTTTCTCTATGCATGACCTTCGTTCTTAGTTTGTAGGGACAATTTGCAGAGTATCTCGATGAAGCCGATCTTTCTGACATCCCGAACAAAGCTGCCTTACACCAACCTACCTCATTTTGTTGTAATTTGTACTAAGAGTTCTTTCGTAAACCTTTTTCTGAAGTGATGCGGATACATTTTCTGCACGGAACGAATGTGAAAGCTACAAATATCTGCTACAATGTTATGCGCATTTCGTGGGACAACGTACGAAAAACATTTATTTGTCGAGTCATTCAATCATCAAGAAATCCAAACGTGTCTGAAGGTGCTATAGGCCGCCTAGACCTTGGCACGAGTATATACGAGTACGTTCTTGATCGCAACACAGTTTTATACCAAAAAAACTAGCATATCTGACGTAAGGCGACGAATTAAGCATGACTTTCCATGCCATTATCCTCGCCAACTGCCATCAATCAATGTTCTATTAACTTCAAAATGCTGACAATCGATTGAATTTCTATAATCCAGAAAGTTTTTGATTACAATGGTTTCGACAAACCATCAAATCGCGCGAAGTTGTCGTAAGCTCAGACCTGCAAAACAACGATAAATAATAATAATATATAACGATAAATACAACGATAAATAATAATAATATATAAAGTAACCGAGTATCAAAACCAGCTGAATTCCTTGGCTTGTTTCGTTTGCATCAAACTTACTGAAAACTTTATCAATCTTAAGCATACACTAGACTCTCCATTTATATACCTTACCCTATAGGGGCTAAAAAATTTTTTAGTTCGAATAATATGAGACGAGTAACAATCAAGATTGTTACCTTCATCCATACAGAATCACTGAACACATGATGATTTTTTTCGCGCAGACTTTGGTATTCTTTGCGAATATTTAATTTGATCTGAAACCGTGCTGAATCCCATGGAATGTCGTCAAAATATACAATTAAAATAGTGTTGTGGTAGATGTTCCAGTAGAGCAACGAAATGACTAACAATTATTTATAATATATTACATTAGAATAGTAAAAGTGTCAGTCACTGTTCTATTGCAACCGAATNTGTAATTGCAAAACTCCATAAACCCCGCTCACGTTCACTTATTT